TACATGGATACAAACCTGACAAATCGAAACCTTTGACACCTTAACGAATCGAAGAGTTTTTTATCTACTACGTCATATGAAATCTCAAGTTCAATAAACAAACCATTTCAATAGAAATCCATCTATCTTATGGACTGGTGGCACATCTCAAACCAACGTGTCTCTTTGGTTGCATGAAGTTGCTTAGTATTATATGTATATCATGTTCTCAATTCTCATTCCCTTCAAATTATTTTGTAGGTTAGCAGATAGGTTATATTCTACTTCTCAGAATCATGGGATCTTATCAAAGAAAGGTTTTATGAGTTCTTAGGAGAATGTCAGTATGTAACGAGTCTAGAAACTCTTCTAGGCACTCGTTTACTAAAGACTCGCTCCGCTCTGCTGCTCTCGTGCTTAAAATATTCGTTACTATAATGACGTTTTTAACACTTGTTACATAATATACTATTTTCAACTCACATAACTATTATGACATTAGCGTATGGATATGTACCACGCTAAATAATCGATCAATCACGGATTGAAGATCTGTGATTTATTAAAAAATTTACATACGTTACCATATGGCAATACGATTTCTGATACATTCGTATCGACATGTTTTGCTAACACAGTAGCTTCATCATGTTGAACATGTTGTACATTTTCATTGTATGTGTGTTTTGTGAGTGTGGTAAAATTGGAATATGAGCCTAAAGAAATTTGGGTGAATCGAAGTGTGGGCGATTCGAGATGTGGGTGAATCAAAATTTAGGCCTAAGACAGTGGTAAGTACACAGAAGCGATGTTTCATATATGAATATGTTCCGTGATTATTTACCACTATATTACTGATGCTGAATTGGTTTGATGCACATTTCAGTACACTCCTGATTTGGAAGTAAATTCATCTGTATGTAGAATGTGGGAATATTTTCATTAGTGTTTTAGCAACAAGAATATGAAAACTCCTATCGGTATGTCACGTCATCGAGAGCTAACGATTTAGAAAAGTGAGTAGTTTATTAATGAAAAAAATAAAAAGATTTGCGATGACTTCAATTGATGAATGACTACATGAAATATTATTATCAGATGGGATGCTCAGAATAAAATAAATAGATGGATAGAATGAATAGATTGGTGTAAATTCGACTAGCGTGTACCATCCCAATGATTAGAATAATAATAGATACCCTAATAGCACACAACGACGTCCCTATTTGGAACAATTTAAGCCCGAACGTCCCGGACCAAAAATAAGTGTCCTTTGGACGTCTCATCCCGTACATATCATGCAATGGCCGAGCAAGGACGTCCACGGAATGTCCCAGCAGGTACATCATGTGCGACTGTCCTCGAAATAGCATCCCTCAGACGTCCCACGTGGTACATGTTGTAGAATGTCCATGCAAGGACGACCTTGGCATGTCCCTGATGGGATATGATTTTAAACGTTCCTTTAGGGACATCCATCGGATGTCGCGAGTAGTACATATTCTGGGATGACTTAAGATCTTATATAATGTCCCTTCTAGACAACCATGAAATGTTCCTGATGGTACATTCCTTCAAAGATCTCTGCACAGACGCCCCTAATATTTCCAGGATCGTATAACAATCGAAATCCCTTAGGGACATCCTTAGAATGTTCCTTAGGATTATTTGTCGAAAATGCACTTTTAATGTCATTTGGAAAAAAAATTCCAATTACATTTCAAGTTTTTCTCAATGGTGACTCAATTTTTGATGATGGTGATTCGACTTCTCTCACCAGAATGTTTGAAAAATCTCCTATTCAGATGCACTTTCAATTGTGTCACCAACATAAATCAATGAAATTTTGGGCGATATTAAATTCGTGAAAGATGTAATAATTCAAGTGTTCCATCCCTCCGTCCTCACCACAAGAGAAACAAAGACAGGTAGAAGGAAAAAGAATCACCCTCCTAACGAGAGTTAGGCGCTTTTGTCTGATTAGATAAAGGCACGCTTAAAACAACAACAGATACCTCGCGCTAATGAAAGAGAACCCCTTTCTTCCTCCCCCCTATTCCCATCTCCCTGCCGTTGTTCTCCCCACTCTTCATCCCTCGCGTTCCATATTTTCGGATGATTGCACATCGTTGCTCGGGATGAAGGAAAATTCACATATTAATTGCGTCATTAATGAAATGCCATTCGTGGCGCTAATCTTGTAATTGGTCGAATTTCGCTTAAGATAATGAAACTGTCAGTCTGTGAGAAGGATGAAGGACGGTTATCCTACAAAGGGTTATTGATTTCTGAAAATTAGGGGAGAACGGTAACTGGTGTCATATACGTGATAGATTAAAATGCAAATTAATAACCGTCAACTCCTCATATATAACCATTTAGTTGATTTTTTGGACTTTCCACTTACTAGTCCTTTGAATCAGAGAAACCAATGATCAATAAGTCACCGATACTGAAGGTCTATCTCAAGGTTCTTTCAATCTTCTTCGCAAACGAGATTATAAGAATACCTATGAATTTATCGAGATAACCTCATCAACGAATGAATTTCTTGAGGAAGCACTCATCTGGAATGGCATGAACAGCTGTGCCAGTTGTGAAATCATATTCATATTGAAGAGGGTAACACCTGCAGGATCTGCGAAGAAATCTCAGAAACGCACTAACATATCCCAGTGCAATATGTGATTCTGTAAAATATCACTGAACCATTGAACCACTTGGAGTTATTGAAGTGATTTCACCTTGTAGGCCTGCTATGAACAAATTACCCTTGAAAAAGCAGATGGAGATGGGGGATGAAAGATATTTGAAAATTGAAATACATATGCCAACTTTGTAAAGGCTCAAGCCCAGAGGCATTATTTCAGTGGATGGGGTGCAAGACACCTAAACAATTTCTGCCTATGGATTTTTCTAGTTTATGTGGTTCTATAAAATATTTTCATTGAGCCAACCCTCAAAAATGGACAGTTGTAATGCCAGGGGGGCTTGATTTCACATGTTGACCGAATTGACCATTTATTTCTGACAAAATTAACGCTATTCTAAAACATTTTATTCCATTCAATTACTTCTAAAAATGGATTTGCAGCTGGTTGAGGGGTGGGAGAACTCCCTCCCTCATATTTCCGAATGAAAAATCATTGACGAATATAAAAACAATATTGAAAATACTTGTCTTTCTATTCAGAATCAAATGGTAGTCTATTGTTTCCAAATTTTGAATTGAACAGAAGAACTGTACATTTTTTAGAGTTGTCACTCGATGATTTTCTGAGCAGAATCATATTATGGACTACATATCATATCAAAAATTCAGCAAAATCTACCGATTTTTTTTTCATTTTCACCTCCCATTTGGTGGGGGGTAATAATGCAAAAATGCGGTATCCATAATTATCCGTGATGAAACATTTTCTATCACTTCTGACAGTTAAATGGAATTCTTTTTTTTTTGTTTTCAAAATAGAGGTTGGAGGTTATAAATCACCCTCCCATTATATTTTTCAATGAAGAATTTATTTTCAAAAGTAATTAAATTAAATGGTAAGTTCCGGAATATCGTTTATTCTCTCAGAAATAAATGGTCAATTTGATCGAAACGTGAATTCATACCCTCGTGGCAAGAAAACTGTTCATTTTTGGGGGATGGCTCGATGAAAATATTTTATAGAAACTACTCTGAGACGGTGGTCATGCATTTTCATCGATTTGTTAATGAACAACGAAATGTTGCCAGTTTCATTAGCTACCACTTGTGACTGCTTGTCATCGAAATTATTTCCGAAAGGCCAAAAATGTTAATATTAGTTCTTTTGTAATATCAATATTATACTTGGTCATTGTGTTGAAGTGATATGTTCAGGACTGCCTAACTTCTTGTTGAATATGGAGACGAAGTAAAAAGGCGAAGAATACATACCAATCCGAAATAATTCTGATGCCTATCTGTACCTATCACATGAGATGTACTCGAAAATACAGTCGAACTTGGAATGGCCATCATCTAAACATCTGTGCAATTCATTTTACAGAAGATGTTTTTCTTCGGACCAAATTTAGGGTGAGATTTGATGACTAACTCAAAACCGACATTATATCACGATTCTTGCTTTCAGTTGAAGCTGTTGAAAACACTGTTCCTGAATTTCCAGATGATGGAATTATATTGTCTCCACATGGTTAATTCTTTGTTTTTGATCCAACAGGAATATATTTTGAGAGCTCTTCGAGAAGTTTGATGAGATCAGTCTGAGGAAAAGATCATTCGATTTGGAGTCTAATTGTATGTTCTCCATGAGTGACTTGTGGTACCTTCAATATCCAGCCAAATAAAATCATCCTCTTCAGGTTCCAGGACGATGAAAACTGAAGTGAGCCAAACTTATTGAAATGTGAATTCCATACAGTGAGATGACGAATTCTACACAAGTTTATATTGGCATATAGCCTTTCAGTCTTTATTTGAAGTTATATAAGTATTTTGAATGAACTCAGTGATTTGATATACAGTGGAACGCGATACTGATTCAAACAATGACCTATATGGCAATTGAATATGTTATAAAATGTACGAAAGGGATATGAGAGTTGTGCTTATTCTAAATATATTCTATATTCGTGCAATGAATTACTTTCTCAAAAACTGAGATCAGAATGAAAAATCCAAAAAATTCAGCAGCATATTTATTTACTTATATCATCAAAATTTACCATTGTGATTTCATTGTCATCTTCTGATTTTTGGAAAATTCATAAAATGACTTCCTTCCCATTTTCGAGATACGCCACTGGTGTACATTAACATTTCGCAAGGAATTTGTAAGCCGCTACTATTTATGGTTTACTTACAGTGTTGCAGCTGATAAAGGTGGATATATGTATGGTGAAATAGCTCCCTCTTACAAAACCCTAGAAAATTTTGTAGACCTCTGGCCTACTTGATTATGTCGAATTCTATCACCGTAGTAAGGCTGCGCAAAACTTACGCTAGATGGCGCTGTTCCCGAAGTGATCTCGCTACACAATAGTTGTATTGTTTTGTTGTTTACATTTACGTATATCAATTCGTAATTTGAAAACATTGAGAAAAAGTGATTGATTTAATGAAAAAGACGTGAAATTTTCATTATATCTGTGAAGTATATGTGGCACGATGTTCCCTACGCCATCTACAGTCAATCCGGTGCGGCCTTGCTACGGTGTTTCACGGTCTACACGTTTTGGAAAGAAACAATTGACAAGTGGTTACACCAGTCTATTTTCATCATGCAGCTGATGCATGATTTGTTCGTCTGCCATATTGGACATGCATTCTAGTCGTAATATATGAAGATTCTGAGTTCTGTGGTCCCGCCCAACTATCGACTAACTTCCTTTAAAAATGTTTCATTGATAAAATTCGATTATGATCAATTCGTCAATGGACAAGATACGTATGACATGTAGTCTGTCAAAATTTTGAAGTGAGTACCAGCATTATTCAAAATTTAAAATTGTTCGTGAGAAGTATGGAAAACTTTGAGATTGAGAATACTGAAAAACACCGTCAATCCAAATATAAAGAACTCAAATGGTCCAGAGACGAGGAAGCAATACGATTCATGAGGAACCATAAGGAAGTTTTATTCTCAAAATATGTTCTCTCTTTCTCCGATGCCTTCATCCTCAGATTGCGAAAATCGGTGTTCGGCCCTTTCCTCGATATACTTAATTATCCCCAAATCCAAGATAAATCACTGAATGAAAACAAACTGATAATCGCAGAATATGATTTGAAAAATCTGCTGAATAAAGAGAAGCAAAAATTCGAAGAAAACAATTCCATCCTTGAGGATGCTACAGGTATCCTCAAAATGCTTGTGAATGAGCGAGACAATGTAGACTATAAGTATTTCAGGAAAACGATCAACTCCATAAGAATATCAAATTCCTATGTGAGTATGAATTCAACCTAAGTTTATGGGATTCTAAAATACTCAATATACTACTAAGATGAATCAAACTGATGAAGAGTTGAGAAAATTCACAAGGCTACAAGTGTTAGTGTTATCTGGGAATAACCTGAGAGGTGTAGAGGGTTCATTTTTACCAAGAAGACTGAAATTTCTAGAACTGTACGATAACTTCATAAATGACATCACTACTTTAGTAGAAACAACTCCAAAATATTTATCACATCTTGGATTAGGAAGGAACAAGCTAGATGACAGTGAGTAATATTGAGTACTAACCTATATTAATATTGTCACGAAAGAGGAAGGATGAACACGACCTTTTCACTATACGAAAGAGGGTTGCATTTCTCATATTGAGTTATATTTATTTATTCATATATTTATTTATTTATTCATTCCAATGAGGTCAAATTACATGACATGTGGATAAGTCAAAAAATACTAAACTAGACAGAACAAAGAGCAATTAGAATCATCGGCGGCTCGGTGGTCGAGAGCGTGAAGGCGCTGAGTTCGTATGGGGACTCTTCCCGAGACATAGGCTCGAATCGTATAGTTAGGCCATGGATGTTTGTGTTTGTCTGCTTACTTAACCCCGCACAAGTTTCGACTCATGGGGCGTTTGGTCCCAGTGCTGGGACAAAAGAGGTAATGCAATTGCAAAAAAAATATTTATATAATGTGAACAGCATAACACATACTCAGTATAAACATAACAGTAATTTTTACATGTATTGTACTCATTATTTCAAAAATTTTTATCGAATTATTCGTCCAATGAGTATAACGAGTGCTGAAGTAGTAATCTTTTAGTTTAAATTTTGGATGGTTTCACATCAGGTACTTCTCAGAACCTTAGGTAAGTGATAATATAGTTTCAAGGGCATTACAGCACAACTTTCTGCCGTTAAAGCGGGTCTATGATGGGGTAGTCTAATAAGCGACTTGTCTCTCATACTGTAACTGACAATATCACCAGATGCATTGTATTTAGAAATATTCTTTTTAATAAAAGTTACACATTTGTAAATGTAAATGGTTAGAATACCAAGATCCTTATGTAAGTTTTTGCAAGAGTACCCGTTCTTAAAACGTCATTGTTCTCAATATTTTTTTGTTTGGATAATTAAGAGAGATTCAATTTTTTTTAGTTTTCCCAAATGGTTATTGCATATGACAATGTAGAATTGACATATGAGTGATAATAGATCATCAGAATATTTCTATCTACAAAACTCCTCAGTCTCCATAAAACAAAACAATGAGATGAAATATTTTTGGCCACATATTCGATGTGACTATACCAGTTTAACTGTGAGTCCATATTCACCCCAAGAATAATAATAATATAATGGTTAGCAATTCAACCATGAACTTTGTAAAAAGATGTGGATTGTACATACGGTGAACTGTAACCTCTAGGGGTGAGCCACAATAGACCCATCTGGGGTCGCAGTGGAGGGGAGGTGTTCGCCCCACTCACATGGAACCTAACCTAACCTAACCTAGCTGATGGGTTCAAACATACATTACATGATATTTTTGTTTCAGTTTACATGTTTTTATTTGACAATTAATCCTCAAGACCCATGAAAAACTGTGAAAAAGTCACTATTACTACATTCGTGTTGATTTTTCAAATTGAAACCATCGCATTGAATTGATATTAGGACCCTTTTGACCAATTTGCACTATTCGCGGGAATCAATGTTACCAGGTGGCGCTCGGTTTTTATCGTTCCATGTCAAAGCCACGTCAAAACTGGGGGAAAACAAACTCAATCCTCACTCAATCCCATTAGTGCCATTAGCTTGTGTACTGTGTACTGATAAGAGTGATGAGTTTTTAAATTTCTTGACATTAATTGTCAATATTCGATCGAAAACGTCTGTTGTAGATCTTCTTTTGGCAGGTATTCTGCTCTATTCAGATGTAAAAAGTCGACCAGTAGTGAATGGAGAAGCAGTACTCCGTGCTGATCATGTAATTTTGTGTGGGGCAGAAGACTTCAACAAAAGGCACATTTTGGGGTCCAGAGGAACTCCTGTAGAACAATGGATTTGTATTTGTTCCTGCAAAGCAGGACAATCTGGGTATTGTGAACATGTTGTAGCTGTTCTTTTATATGTCAATTTATTTGCTCGTCATAATTAGTTTGAATTGTTTAAACTATCTCCAATTCTTCACCCGTTCACTGTTCACTAAACTGATAAAAATGTAATAATGTAAAAAAATAACCAACTCAGCCATCATCATGCACTACCAACAGTGCCAACACTTTATGACATTGACAAGTTTGGCTATAGCTGAAGCAACCCAGGTAGCACATCATATTGGCTGGAACCCGATTTCATATTGGGCCGATATAGATATATCGTACATGTGAAAAATAATATAGGTCCAATATGAAAGTATATTGGACAAACAATATTGGAATGATAATATTGGTGGAATATTGGTTCAACCTGAGCTGAATATGGATTGTCAGCTACAATATTGGAGCAATATAGGTTGTAAAATTCGTTAACAATGTGTTGAAAAACATATCTATGAATGTTATATAATGTTGTTTTACGAATGTCGATACAACATCATCGTATACATATTGTTCCCGACATTCACAACCAATATTGCAATTTGAACATTCTCCCCATGTCGATTCTGAAGCGGTTATGCAATATTGTATATTCAAGTTGAACGGCATATCGGTTGGATATTGTTTTAACAATATTTGAAACATTATATTCACCCATCTTGATTGATATCATTTTATCAAAATCATGCGGAAGATATCGTATACAATTTGCTTCTTAAATTTATAACCAATATCGCGATTTGTATATTGTCCCCATGTTGATTCTGAAGCGGTTGTGCAATATTGTATATTTACGTTCGAAGGCATATTGGTTGAATATTGTTTCAACAATATTCGAAATATTATGTTCACCTATCTTGATTAATATCATTCTATCCATATCATGCGGAAGATATCGTATACATATTGTTTCCAACAATTATAACCAATATAGCAATTTGAACATTCTCCCCATGTCAATTCTGAAGCGGTTATGAAATATTGTATGTTCGAGTTCGACAGCATATTGGTAGAATATTGTTTCAACAATATTTGGAACATAAAATTTACCAATATTGACTGATATCATTCCAACTATATCGTGTGGAAGATATCGCACACATATTGTTTCCAACAACTATAACCAATATCGCAATTCAAACATTGTCCCCATGTCGATTCTGAAGCGGATATACAATATTGTGTAATCGGATTCGACGGCAAATTGGATGAATATTGTTTCAATTGATATCATGCGGAAAATATCGTATACATATTGTTTCCAACAATCATAACCAATATCGCAATTTGAACACTCTCCCCATGTCGATTCTGAAGGGGTTTTCAATGATTCAAATATGAATATCAATAACGGCAATTCAATTAATATCTTATATCGGACATAGAAGAGAAAAACAATATTGTAATTACAAGTTCAATTGCATATCGGGTGAATAGTTTTCTAGCAATATTCAGAAAATAATATCATCTTATATTGGCTAATATGTGATTCACTATATCATGTGAGCAATATTGTTCACATATTGTTTTGAGAATACATATCGATATCGAAATTTCGATATTTATTCCATATTACGCACTCCCAAATCGATGTCGATAGATGGCGCTATAAATGATTGGTAACGTACTCCCATTGCTCTAGACGATTGTAAAGTATTGGAGTGCCGCTGTAAAGTATTGGAGTGCCGCTCCGCAATGGGAGGGCCTTGCCGCAAGGCCCTCCCATTGCACTCCGGCTGGGCTGACCTTTGTGATTATTCCTGATGCGAATAACTCGCAAATATTGGTATGAAAATATTCCACCAATATTTTGAAGACAACATAGCTACATAATGATTTTCAATAATGTACCAATATTTCCAACCAATATTGCACCAGTATTGTCAAATGTTCACTGTCCATTTATCAGCAATATTGATACCACATTTTGTGACCAATATAACTTCACGAATATTCCAGCAATATTGGTATGAGAATATTCTACCAATATTTCTGAGACAATATACCTTCATGATGATTTCCAATGATTCACCGATATTTCCATATATTACACCAATATTGCCGAATGTTCACCATTAAGTTCTCGCCAATATTGATATTACACTAACTGATAGGTATGAAAAAATATTAAGGAAAGTTGTCAGGAAATTTTCGACTATAATATATTATATAGTGTGTTCTATTTGAAATATCGAAGTTGCTACTACTTGCTGATGGAAGTGGCAACATCGCATTGTCGAAAATATTTCAGTTGGGTATAGAGAATCTCCGAATAAACTTTTCATCAAATTTTCCAAGTGATCCGGCGTCTGGTTCACCAGAAACGACTCACATTTCTGTTTATTTCGTCAAAGTAGATAATTCTCATCAGTTTACTGCAAAATTTGAAAGTATCTAATATATATCAATTTTATTATCATTCATTATATAGATATTATGTATGATGGCATAATAGAAAGGAATTTCGGAATTTTTGTTTTATGAAAAAAACAACTAAAAATGTTTGTATAAATATTCATGAATTATTCAGGTAATGTTTGTGATTACATCTCGCAATGGAAAATGCTCGTTCTTGTCACGTCCAGGATAACTTTGGGTGATCGCAAAAAGATGTGTTTATTCAGTTCATATCAGAAGGAATTCGAAATAATGAGGAGTATTCCAAATCTATGGCGAAATCTCCGCGATATTTTTCGGACGACTCCAGAGAGTATTTCCCATGGTGACAGCCTGTATTTATCTCTGTGGCACCTCGCAGGAGGACTTCGCATTATGATCCTGAAGATAACTACTTAGAGATATCGCGGAGAGTTCCGTGTTACCTGAGTAGTACATACCAAGTTTATCTTTACTGTACTCTCATCTACGACAGATTTTCGATATTGGTCGAATACTGTAGTGAAAAAGTCAGAAAACCCATCCAGCATCGACATAATTACCCGCGGATCCACTTTGCATCAACATTCCCACCTAGGGGGCGCTACACCGCACCAATTACGATCCATTACTATAAAAACATAGAAACTCAATTACCGGCAATTTACCGCCCCTCCCGAAAACTGAGAGCAACGCGTCAATTTCCCCCTTCTCTCCGCTCTCCCGTCTTACACAGGAAAATGGAGGAGACCGTGTCAGCCATCGGTAAACAGGGATTTCGTT